AGGAAAGTCCCTAGTTTGAATTTCATCTGTGCCATTAATTCACTAAGTGATTTGAGAAAAATTACTCTTTTTTAAAAACGGTAAGTCTTTCCATCTGCAATATGTGTTTTATTTATTGTTTGGATTTTTATTTTTATTTTTATTTGATTTTTTAAACATTTTAGACCATAACCAAAGTCCTTGGAGGATGTATAAAATGCCCCCAATCAAACAACAAATTAAAACATGTAAGATATGTAAAATGGCAAAATCTTCCATTAAAATAGAATTGTCATTTTGGCAAGAGATGATATTTAAGTGAACAATTAAACATTGTATGTCAGTTGAAAGAGATGGGATTTTAAAGCTGTCTTACAAGTCAGCATGGTTGATAATGATTGTATTGTAAGGGGAAAGGGCGATGACCTATGGAGGCACTTTGAATACTTGATAGCCTTCTGTGAATGCTAGGTATTGCTACTATTAACAGCTGGCAAATGTACAAAAACATTCCCTAACACGATTGATTTGACTGGTCTTCAAAAAGGAACCAGGAAGTGAATCATTCCAGGCCCAACAGACAACACACCTTTCAATGACCCAGCAAGTGCCAGGGTGTATAATGGTTCAGGTGTTGAACTAGCCATGGAAGCTCATGGAGTGACTTTAGGCTAATCCTCTTTTTCAATCTAACCTTACTCACAGGGTGGTTGCTGTGGGTAAAAATTGGAGGAGGGCGCTCTTCTGTACAATACCTTGAATGAAAGATGGGAGATGAATCCAATACATGCATAAATAAATAAAAAGAGTTCTGCCTCTTGTAACTACCTAGTGCATAAGATGCAGTCAGGACCACAAAGAGGTAATCATCATAAATTTAGGATCTGGTTAAATGTCACTCTAAGGTTAGTGGTCTGTGTATATGTGGTGCTTCTCACTTAGCAATCAGACTTCAGGAACAGTTTATTGTGAACCACAGTACAGTGAACAGCTGCCAGACATATATCTAGATGTAAAATCTTACGTATCTTATGATCCCTTGCAGCAACTGGAGTGTTGACCTTTACAAAAATGGCTGCCCCAGCCACAATTTATTTAACACAGTATTGGGGGTGTCCTCCAACATCCTTATCACCACATGTTGTCAGCAAATAAAATAGTCTATTTCAAATATACAAGTTCAGTATGCAGAGTTGCAGTGGATATTACAGTCAGGTTCTTCTCCTTTCTGGTTAGGGCTGTTGCTTGTCCCAGCTTATATTTACCAGCTGAGGACTCACTGGGATGCTCCAGTTTATCTGCAGGAAATTCTTGGAACAGTCTGACTTTGCAAGCTACTGTCAGAAAGTTGATTGTCAACGTTTTTTGCCCAATTGTTTTGAAGATTCTCAGCCTTGTGAAGTCCTGGAGTAATTTAGTCTCTTTGTTCTCGCTGTACCATCCTGCCTGGAGCAGAGTGTATCTAGAAGACAGGGATGGTCAATATGCAGTTAGTGCTCCCGATATTATTGAATTCCAATTCCTAGGATCTCAGGAAAGAGCAATACCTGTAGGGTCATAGTAGGTATAGTAGGATAATTTGCATTGATTCCAAATGGATTTGACTTTTTTTTTTTAGACTGGGGTTATCTATGCTAAAGACAATTAGCCTAAGAGCTTTAGTATTATAAGCATGTCTGCTAAAGGCATGCTTATTGTGACATTGGTTTATTTGTGGGTGGGAACTTGACCTCACTAAACGAGTTGTTAAAGTATTAAAATAAATATTCTGATCTAGATATTTATACTTGATCTTCCCATCTTTCTGTTTTTGCCAGAACTCAGTGGTAAAACACATCTTCAGATAGAACTTAAGCAGAGACTTTCCTGAAACTCTGGACAGCTTCTGACAATTTGTTCTTTAGCTGAGGTGCACACACAAGCTGGATTTGCACTTATATTGATCCATTGAATAGTGAGAAATCAGATGGATCATCCAACAGAGTGAGAGAGCCTCTACATCCTTCCCAAACAGTTGGCTGATTTTCTGACCAGGCCCTACATCTGGTCCTAGGAGGAACTACTCACATAGTACACATGTTCCTGTGTGGTCTCTCATCCAGCATACTGTACATAAGCTGCTTCTATATTCGTACAGCATCTTCTTGTGTGTGTAAGAGTCTTTTCAGAATTCATGATTTCTTTTTTTGGTTATACTTGGGCAATTATTTCAAAGAAGGTCTACATCTAGAAGTACAAAATGTATAAAAACCTTATTTTGAAAAAAATTATTATTTGAAAAAAATGAAACTTTTTTGTGAGTTGTGATTGGTTTTAAAAACAAAATCCAAGTATTACACTTTCTTTTTTATGATGGGAGGGAGAAAAGCAAAGCTATAAATGTGAAAGACTTGATACGTGTTTGTTTTCCAATTCAAAGTATTATTTTATCAAAATGGTTTATAAAAGGGATCTGGAAAATCTTAATTACATTTTATGAAATTTCAAGCAGTATTATAAAATGGGATTGTCAAAGTGTTTACTAATGTGAATTTAAACCACAAGAGCTGCTTATATTCAGTTGGCACCATTATATTCAATTTTCAATATTCCTGTTGTTGTTAGAAATACATATCTTAATAAGCAAGCTTTTTACTTCCAGGAAAGAGCATTTCCAAACAAAGATTATTATGTGAATTATAAGCAAAATGACTAAGTAGATTGGCCACATTTAAACAACACTTTTGGCTTCTTACTTGCAGATTTTGGAGCAAAGCAAGGAAAATATTTGCAATATTTTAGCACTCTGCTAAGATCCATGCTGGAAAAATTTTTAAATACTAATTTTATTTAATATATATTGGTTGTAACTAGTGGCCAGTAACTGATATCCAGAAATGTTACATTTCCAACTGAAGAGTATAAAAGTATATTTCTATTGAAATAATTTTTTTCTGCTTGAGAGCTGTCATTTCTAATCCTTTAACACTGACAGCTGTCATTTTTCCAACCATAAAACAGTATTTTCCTACTTTTGTCTCTACAGCTCTATCTTTTTTCCTGGATCAAGTTTTGAAGTGAGGTAATTTTCATGACATTGGAAGCATTTCAAGTCCAATTTCAAAAATGCAACCAAACCCCACACCTACTACTATCATAGGTATTTGGTCCTTCAATCTATTGCAGCAAAAGCCAGCCAGACACCTGGTTCCTTAAGGCAGCCTTTCCCAACTGGGTTCCCTCCAGATGTATTTGGATACTTCCAGATGACTAATCTTTCTGTCTTCCAATTCTTCTCATTCCAGTATAAAAAGCACCTGAGATTAATCCAGGCTGTTATGACTCCTGGTAGATCTATTTCCCATCTCCCCATCCTGATAACAATTCTGGAGTTGGTTTCTTCCATGTGGAATAGAAAGAAAAACTCATTCTCTTTGGCTGTAAATTTACCAGTATGCGAAGTAGCAGGCTGTTTGGTTTTCTGTTTTTTTCATACCTTGTCAGTTTCAAAGAGAGAAGCTGCTTTGAAACAGAACATAGCCACCCCCAGAAACAATGGAGATATATCATAAAGCAAAGTCCTGGTCATAATATTGTTTAATCACTGAGGAGTTCATTTACTACCAAAACTGGAGCTATACCTCTTCTAGTTAGCAGTCATCACCCACCCATGGTAAATGGCTGGAGAATGATGGAAATGACAATACCTGGAGGGTATCAGGTTGGAAAATTTTTCCATTAAAAAAATAAATTGTGCTTCTACCAAGTGTTTGTTGGTTATAATCCACTTCATCAGCCAAATCTTGGCTCCCCAGATATTTAACCCCTTAGTTAGGAATGCGCTTACTGAGCAGAAGGCCCTCAGGCACAACTCAGTATGATTTGTCTCTTTATTGCAGACAAGAATGCAGCCGGATACAGAATATTGTTCACAGAAATCAAAGCCCACAAAGTCTGTGATCCAGGGTTTAAATTCTAGGGATTTTCTTTATACCTTTTCTACGCAATGGATATTTGATGTTCTCTTGATGGGCCTGGAAGGCCCCTGGTCTACATTGACATATCAGTTCTCTCTAGCTTAGGAACTGTGATTTTTGCTTTGTCAGGTTCATTCCTTACAAAACCAGGAAAGAAATAGTGGTGCATTGTATATAAAGGCATTCTCTAGTCAAAGTTTCAGAATTATAATTTTAACTGTTTCCTTGTCTTTCAGGCTTTGGGCTGTAAGGATGCATGCAAAAAAGCTGAGATAATCATGGCTTTCCTTGCTTTGGCAGTTCAACGGTAAGTGCTATAGATAAATGTCCTGCATTTTTTTTTCTGAGATATTGTATGTTTATTCATAAGCTTAAAATGTACAGCAATGAACATATATAAAGTGCAGAAAATGGGAGACAATAAGGACAAAACAGGCATTAAGGAAAATCTGTCTGCTAAAAATGATTACTGTTACAAAACTGCAGATAAAAAGGCAATTATTAGGAGAAATCCACATAAAAATATGAATGGATTTTCAGATAGAATGGTCTTTGCTGAATTAAAAACCCTGTTGCAGAAATTGGGAATCAAACTCCTGCCCAGTTAAAGGGGAAACTAACCGAAGGAAAACTGAGTTGATAGCCCATCCATACTGTCTAGTTCAGTATTTTATACCCTGATGAGTGGTGGCTTCTTAGGATTCAGGTAGAATCTTTTCTGAGTTCTACCTGGAGGTGCCTGAGATTCTACCTGGCATTCTATAGATATGAAGCATTTTCTCTGCTCCTAAAATGGTCCTCTGCCAATGTTTGATGCATTTTCTTCAAATAAAGCTCTAGTTGCATTAGATACTAATTTTCAGTTGTTGCTTTATAAGATGCAGTTCATTTTTAATTCCTATGTTCCTCCTTCAAAGTATGACCCATTTATTTATTGTATGTATACAACTCTTGGTGGCTCACATGATTATTGTGTCTAGTGTCTTTATACTTTGCTGCCAAAACTACAAATTATATTTGGCATCTAGCCAACAAACAAACAAAACAGAAGAAATCAACCCCTTGTAGTAAGATCTAATTAACATTTTGGACCTATAGAGTGAGATGACTGGACAATAAATTGTTTGGAAATGAAAGTGTAGACAAATCCTTTTTCTTTTTAACGTACTGGACTAATTGCAAGATAATTCTGTCCAGAATGAAAAAATCTATGACATTTCTAGAGGGAAAAAGGAACTCTGTGAAAGGTTATAGTTAGAAAGTAGAACAAAGCTATTGGTGTCTATACTGATCACTTACTAACATCACACACAATCCCTTTTGTGTAAGTAGTATAGTTAGGAAGATGAAGACTTTCTTTGCTAGCTGTATGAATAATAATGAATGAAATATGTGGACAGCATCGAAATTGGGCTACATGGGGAATGAGATGCATTCTGTATATTAAAAATTCTTAGTAACAGGAGTTAGAATAATAAGAATTCCATTATGTATGCTGAGCTTATGAACACATAATTTCATTATGTTTCCAATGTCTAGCCCTACAACCTGATTGCAAGGAACAATGAGATCACCAAGCTCTCTTGTAAAATCTCATTTACTCTTGAAATACCTTGGTGTGGACAAAGAAAAATAATAGATATCCTTTCCAATCTGATTATTCCACAATGATAGTGAAGTCACTTAATATCAAATCAGTGGTTTGATGAGAAAACATTTCTGTGCAATGGGAAATAAGTACAATAGGAATTCTGTGATTTCCCTCTTTTGTAGAATTTTATTTGCTGAAGTGGCTGTTTCTTATCTTTTGAACTCTCTGTCTAGGTCAGGCTACTATCTCTTTAGACACTTTCTTGGGATCCTTTTCTGAAGAGCAATATAAAAATTATTTCAAAATTATCCATTCATTCAGCCATTCAGCCATTCAGTCAGTTGCTATTCAGTCAGGCTTTTGATGGATGAACTAGTTTGCTGGATGGGTATGTTTTGTTTCACTAATACATTTCAGTGTTTTAAATGCATTTTATAAAAATGTTACTTATTATTGTTTACTGCTTTTTGTGTCAGTCACCAGGGGAAAGATGAGTTGCCCACTAAATAAACAGATAGTGATGGAGTGCAAAAGCTATCTCTCTCTCCCTCTCTCTCTGAATTTTAATTATTTTAAAGTTAAATCACATTGGTTAAAAGTGAAATTTTTGAAAAACAAATGTATAATCACAGTGATGATGCTTATTTTTATTTACTTATTGAATAGATCGGTGTGTTTTAGAAAAATGTATTAAATGTTAGATTTCTTTATGCAAAGCTGTAAAGAGATGACCCCCCCCCCAAGATGCTGGGATATGGTGGAGCGGGAAGACAGCGCTGTTGGCTGTATCAAGGGAGTTGGATTGGGGCGCTAGGCTTCTTTCTGTTTTTATTGTTTTTGGTTTGTTTTTGTATGACATATATTAATATTTATATAATTGTGGTGAGCCGCCCAGAGTTGTGATTCTAAGATGGGTGGCTCTACAAGTCTTACAAATAAATAAATAAATAAATAAATAAATATCTCCCAGTAGATTGCACGTACTACTAGGAACTTGCTTTAAAAAGCTATAACATTTAAGGAGTGGTTAACACTGCAGACTGACTATACTGATGAGGGCCTTTTTGTACTCGTCCCCAGTCATTTTTAAAATATTATTTTAAGTACCTATCACACAGGTGGGGTATGAGTACAATTTTTTACTTTAGTTCTCTTTACTTCCAAGGGTGGGTGTTTGTCTATTTTCTGTATGCTTTTTGTCTGTATGTGCCTTCGAGTCAGTGTTAACTCCTGTTGATAGCCTGGACTAGACCCTGCAGTTTTCTAGGCAGCATTTTTAGAAGTGGTTTTCCATGGCCGCCTTCTTCCCAGGGCTGAGAGAAAGGGACTGGCCCAAGGTTGCCCAACTGGCTTTGTGCCTCAAGCGAGACAAGAATTCACAATCTCCCAGTTTCCAGCCCGGTGCCTTAACCACTACACCAAACTGGCTCTCTTTTATATGCTTAAGGCTCTTAGTACACTTCATTTCTATCATTTTACTGCTTGGAAAGTGGCAGAAATTCATGCCACTGGTTTTTAGCAATTTGTTGCCAAATTTATTGACATGTTCCTTGGGAACTCTGGGGCTGGGGCTGCAAAAATGGGGATTTGGGACTACCTCTGAACCACAGATTGCCTCCTTTTGCTGTAGATCAACCTGAATCTTTACTGATTTGGAAGGAAATCTTTTTGCGAGTCAATAAATTGTACATCCAACAGAGACAGGTCTAGGTAAGACTGGGAAGAAAAGAAAAAAGAAAGGGCAACTTAGCAATTAAATGAGAAACTTGGGAAAATGAAAAGATTCTTAAATTGACACTAGAATAGCACAAAAGGGTGCAGGAAGAAGGATATTTCAGAAATGGGGTACAAACATCGAAAACACCAGGAGGAAGCCAGGAGAAGCGACTCATTATTTGATTAGCCTAATTTGAGGCTGCAGAATGAAGTCGGTCCAGCTCAAAATACATGGCTATTTGTGAGCTGACAGAAACCTGGAAGAGAATATAGGCCGAGCCAGAAATACATTCAGATTTCCTGCTTCTCTATATAGTGTACTAAATATACTATAATCTTTCCGCCCTTTGTCCTACTGGTTTCCTTCCTTTGTTAGTTTCAAAGTTTGGACAAAGCTGTGAAAAAGAATAATCTGCTTAAGGCCACCTCATGTGTATTTATAGCTTCAAACAGTTTTCCAGACTATTACTTGAAATGGTCTGATAATTTATCTGTGTAAGGAAGCTGTTAAAATCTATTGTCCCATACATTACTATCTGTTTGACCTCTGCACTAAGAACACCGTCTTAGATGGCTTTCATTTTTTTGGATTAATACATTACTGTACTGAAGCATCTGTATGTATGTGTGGGTATGACATCTAAGTGGATCAGTTACTGTAATATGCCAATTACAGTAGATGTAAGGGATTCAGAATTATCAGCCTTGGGAAATATTTGAGGAAGGGTTTTAGCATCAGTAAGAAAAATATGTACTTAGAAGATCTATGTTGTGTTCAGAGCATTGCCAATGGGGCTTATGTTACATCAGCATGAGATATCAGTGGTGCAGTCATTTAATTTTAAAATCCCTTGTTTATACCAGGCTAAACTGTTTTCAGCTGGAAGCCCAAATTCTAGAGCAGGGAAAACAGTAGAAGACTTTTTGTTTAATGCAAAAAAGCAGGTGGGTTTTGACCAGAACCCAGAGGTGGCAAAAGGTGAACCACCTCTATTGCTGTCATAAGCCAAGAAGCATCAGGATCTTCACAATTGCTCTTTATTTTCAAGGTTACATTAATGCTGTTGCTGAATTGTGGGGTTGAAGCTTGGTCATTAGGGTCTCAAAGGATTGTCCAAATCCCTACCAATAACCTCCCAGGGAACAACAGGTGAGAAGGTAAAGGTAAAGACTTTTTCCAGTTGACCTGGCCATTTATTCTTCAGGAGGACAGCAGCAAAAGTCCCTATCTCATGGTGACATGGGTGTGTTGGGCCCAGGTGGGCTGATGTAGCAGCAGCAGGACCCCCTCCTCCTCCTCACTCTTCAGTGACAGATATTTTCTTTATTATAGTTTACTTTAAAAACAGGTAATTCCTTCCAAAATAGTGCTATTAAAAAAAAAAAATCTGCCTAGAATCATTGGCAAGTGGGCAGCCTTAGAAATTCAAATTAAAAATAATAAGTTTGGTCATCTACAGGCATATACAAGTCTGTAAGATAATTAAACTAACTAGCTGCACTGGTGTCTAGTTTCGATTTAAATGAGCCAACCATCATAGGGCAGGGCAATGGAATAGCAACCTCTGCTTGGTACTCTGTGTGGTTGCAGAGATGGGCTCTGGAGGAAGAAGCAACTTAATGTGCTGATGTCTGTAATATAATTGGAGCAGGGAAACCTTTCTGCGCATGCTGTCCCCATCCAACGTGGAACTCACAGGCACATCAAAATAACCCTTAAAATAATCCCTGTAATGTAACACTGTGTTTTTTGTTTTGATATTGCCCTCTCCAATGGCTGAAGCAAGATACTAGCCTGCCAAAAATGAACAATGGCTGAATAAGATTCCTTGGAGATGGATCATATTCATAGTACTGTATATTATATCAGTTTAACTGTGTTACTAACCTTAGTTTTTAATGGAATTTCTAGAGAAGGAAGCAGGGAGAAATAAAATCTTGCCTTCTCTTGAGAAATAAGAAAGCCATCTTGTATCTATTGATTTCAATATTATTTATGT